GGGCAGGGCACACGGCCGCACACGCAGCAGGGACACGGGCAGGGCACACGGCCGCACACGCAGGAGGCACACGGGCAGGGCACACGGCCGCACACTCAGCAGGGACACGGGCAGGGGACACAGGCACGTCACACAGCCACACACACACGAGGGGGGCACGACCAGACACACCCCACAAACAGCGCCGCACACCCCTTAGGGACACACCCCTCCGAACACGGACACGCACCCCACGAACAGAATGGGCCGTACCCACGGGCACAACCCTCCCCCAGGCAACCGCCCCCAAGAATCCCCCTGCGCACCCCACGGCACGCGGGCGCCCAGACGCGCGGGAGTGCAGCCCGCCCTCCACACAGCTTTGTTCCCAGAACTCGGGAGCCCTTCCGCGCCCTCGGCCTCGGTCACGGGAAGCTCTCCACCGCCGGGGCTTCGGCGAGCCGCCCCGTCGGGCTCCGGGCCTCAGCCGGGCGGCGGGGCAGCGAGGAGAGCGGCGGCCCCAGGGGCCTCTGTGAGATATCCCTACCGCCCCTCCAACCCCACGCGGATCGCGGACGCCCAGGGCCCACCCGTCCCTGCCACATGGCCGCGTTCCCTGCCCTCCGCCCCCCTCCTCCCGCCTTCCGCGTCCCCCGCGTCCCCGCGCCACACCTGGAGCCGGCGCGGCCGCCCTCGCTTTCCGGGCCTTGGAACATGTCGCCCGCCGCCACCCTCAGCTCGCCGCGCGCCGTTCCCGCCTGCCCCGCGCAGGTACCAAGCCGCCCGCCAGCGCCCATTGGCCTCCAAGACGCCAATCTTTCCTCCACAGCCTATCGCGGCGCGGTCCCCGCCCCTCAGGCCCACCCCCAACGAGTTAGACTTTGAACAGCCGGCACTGCGCCCACAGCGGATTGGGGGAAGGCGACGCCGCTCGAGGAGCTGGAAGCTCCCATTGGGCGGCGGGCTGGGCGGACCGTGGGGCGGCCGCGCCCTCGGGAGGAAACCTGGCCTGGTGGAAGGAGCGCGCCCACCACTGGGGCCGCACCTGGGCGGCACCTGCTCGCCCAACCACAGTCCGCAGGTGCTGGCCCCGAAGAACAGGCACAAAGCACAGTCCTTAGATCAACATTAGTATGTATTTATGCACAATAAAAACATTTACAAGTTGAACTGGAAATTTAAACAGAAGTTTAACAGCTCTTGTTTATTATATTAAATAACCAAAACACCTTTTATTCCCAAAATTGGTAAAGAATAAATAATATAATTTACAATATGGTACAAAAAATAACCAGGAAAGGCAGGCATTCTGCTTTATACATACACTGTATATGCATATTTATAATCTATAAAACAAATTCACATCTGAAACGAGCAGAGGCCTCGCTATGGCTTAACTGAGAAGGGAGAGAAGGGGTGCAGGGTGTGGGAGGCAGGGCCAGAGGCTCGGCTCCCCACATCTCACCCACCCCAAGGACGCGCAGCCACTGTGACATCAGCAGAGCGCTGACAGCCGCAAAAGGTGTGCTGTGGGTTTCTTTCCTTGGTTTTAAATTACTCTTTCCTTGTTTCCTTAAGACAAAGTGCCGTATTTCCTGACAAATGCATCTGCTAGAGCCCAAGGTCCTCCTCCCTCGGTGTCTTACGCCCCCCAGCTTTCTTTGCAGAAGAAGTTTGAATTCAATGCTGTGATCTAATTAAAGATGCTATCAAACTGGCCAGCGCGGTGGCTCACACCTGTAATCCCGGCACTCTGGGAGGCCTAGGCAGGCGGATCACAACGTCAGGAGGGTGAGACCATCCTGGCCAACATGTTGAAAGCCTGTCTCTACTAAAAATGCAAAAAGTTAGCCGGGTGTGGTGGTGCACGCCTGTAGTCCCAGCTATTTGGAAGGCTGAGACAGGAGAATCGCTTGAAGACAGGAGGCAGAGATTGCAGTGAGCTGAGATAGCACCACTGCACTCTAGCCTGATGACAGAGTGAGACTGTCTCAAAAAAAAAAAAAGCTATTAAACTAAAGAGGTCATCCAACAGAAACGAGGTCATGGCCTCCGATGCCCAGCACCTGGTAGTGGGGGCAAAGCAAGGAGACCAACTGCAGAAATGCTGCCAAGACCCCACTCCCTGAACTGGCACCCTCCAGCTACAAGACACAGAAGGGCGAAACAGCCAGGAAGCCATGAACTCGGTGTCCTTGGAGGCACGCAATGCTCGCTCATCACTGCACATCCACAACAGAGTCGAGGCCAGAGGACTAACTTCCCTGCACCACAGATGCTCTGTCCCAATCTCCAGAAAAGGCGGATCAGCAAAGATCCCAGACAACATAAGAGAGTTTGGGAAAGCTTTTTCTAAGAAACTGATCTCATCTTAATTATAGCATGCTCAAATGCACAAAGGAAGCCACAGGCTCATGCTGAGATGATCGCTGCTTCCTTTGGAAAGGCAGAAGATACAGGAAATGGAAGGCTTCTCTGTTTGGATCTTTCAAAAATTCCAGCCATTCACAGTTGCCTATTTTTGTACATCAGTATTCATTTAGGCGAGGAGAAAATGCATCCATTGTTTTTCTCCAACAAATGACACCATTTTCCCTTAACGTGGCAAGCAAATGTGTATCACCTGTCTAGTTACTAGAGAAGCAGAATCCTCTAAAACCCTGTCAGCTTTCTTACAAGAGACGAGTCAGTCTGTCCTCCTCCCTAACCCATCTATCTACCCACTGGGTGGCCATATGGCTGCAGTCATTGCTTGGTTCTACCCTGCAGAACCAAGTGGTAGATACTGTCTAAAGAGTCTATAAAGGTAGACCCTGACTTCAAAGCTTCACCCCACTTGGGAGTAACAGGTGCCCTGACAGGCAGTTCATGAACCCTGCTGTCCCTGGCACAGTGTATGCAGCTTAATGCTGTTATGACTTGGCATCTCTGGTCTAGCCTGTGGGAGTATGAGAAAGCTAGCAGTGACCTCAAGTCAGCTTGGTAGCCTAACCCTGACACAGCAAAGTCAGATGCCCAGAGGAAGATCTACTTGTCTTTCTCTGGCTCCAGGAGATGCTAATTTCAGAAGCTGATATACTAAGCATAAAACACAAGCTAGTTTAAAGATGCTGCGGCTCAAACACTGCTGTCTCCCTCCCAATCAAGTGGCACCATGTTTTTTTTTTCTGCCTCCAAAAGCTTTGGGACTGTTCGCTTAAGATCTCATGTCAAGGTCTGAATGAGGGAAGCCAGCTCAGGCAAAAGCTTTATGAAAAACTCGTGAGACAAAAGAAGGAAGCTGTTGCCTGGAAGTCCACTGTCCTCTCCACGTCCTCCCAATGGTCTACAGTGGCTGTGGTGGACTGGCGAGACTGCAGGATGGAGGGTGTCTACCTGTTTGTCCACACCCAAGGTCTTTCCCCTCTTTTCACCTTCTCCATTGTGGAGGGGGAGAGAAACAGGGGAGGGGCCAGGGCTGGCCTTACATGCCACATGTGTGAGGGGACAGGAATGGTGGGGAGTCGAAGAGTAGGTCCAAGTGGGTTAGGAAAGCACAATCAATCCTGACCACTGTGGGGGATGAGGCAGGAAGGGAGAGATGGCGGCAGAGGCATGGACTGCCCAACACCTCTGTAGCAGCTCCAAGCCACACTGGATGTGGCTGGACAGTGACCCATGTGCTTGGAGCCCTTGTTAGCTCCATCCTGGGAAAGACTGGATGTTGGGCAGTCTGCAGTAGGAACGCTAGCCACCCTCGGTAGGAATGCTGACCACCTGAGGGGGTGCAAGGAGGAAGACCACCAGGAAGGCATACATTTGGTGACGTCTAACCACATCCAGATGTCTGGGTCCTTGCATGAGTGTCCCAAATGGAAAGGAGACACAGCTATCTCAAGGCAAAGGTACGAAGGGACTAAACACACGTCAGGCATGCCCACATCCATGCCCACGAGACACTTTCCCTGCAAAGGTGGACTTGTTCTAAGTGCCAAATAGTCACGGATTGAGTTTCAGAACTTATCAGGAAAGTTTTTGCTGTAATCATATTAGTGCTTAGAGGTCACCCCAGTAGAGACAAATGACACCTTAGGTCACCTGAAAGCTTGCAAAGGGACACAGGAAGGAAACCAACTACAGAGGGGACTTTGTTCTTCCTCTTCCATGTCTCCTAATCCTTAAAACACAAGAAAAACATTTTCAACCAGCTTAGCAGGGTCCCATGTAAAGTCCACACAACCTGCATAGTACAGGACTCTTGCTGCCCCCACTTCCTGTTCAGAGAGATCAAACAAAACCTCTAGACAGGGGAGGCACCAGCCCAGGGCCCCAGGACTCCTCAGCAGCCTGCAATCAGCATCCATACGCTTGCTGCCTCAGGGTGTGACACCATGCGGCACAAGCCCAGGCCACAACCAACTGTCCTGCCCGTTACATTCCACAGAGGGTACAGCTGAAGCATGGCACAGGTTTGGCAAAAATCAAGCAGCAGGAGCTGGGGCCTCCCTGCAGAGTGGGAGATCATAGCTCCTAGCACGGGGCAACTATACCAAGGCACACACACTCCCTTGTCTCAGAAAGAAACACCATCATTACATCCAACACAACAATCGAGGCAGAGCTTGGGCTGAAATGCGATCACTATGTAGACCCTAACGTGGGCCCAGACGTGGTGAAGAACTGCTCCAGCACCACAGCCATTTCTAATGTCGGCCCTTCCCAAGAGCTTGCCCTGGTCTCCTGGGACACCACTGCCTGCTGCTCGTGGGGAAGCAGCTCTATGACCACATTCCTGCCTGTTGCACAGTCATGGGTGCGGAGATGCCTCTGTTCAGATCATCCTCTGGGGCTCCTGGGCTTGATCTGTTTTTCTCTAGCTGGAAGAGGGCTTCATCTGCCACCAGGACATGTGGTCACTGGGACAGGTCACTGACAGGGGGGCCGCCTCCACCACCATCAAACAGAACTTCTCGGCGGCCAGGCTCAGCGATGGACAGCTCTTGGGCCAGGTCGTTGAACCGAGAAATATAATCGATGCTGTTCTCATTCATCATGCACACCAGCTGGGAATCCACAACCTGCAGGATGAGGAGACAGGAAGGAAAAAGTCACTGTGATCTGCTGGGCCTTCAGTGGAGGGCGGCTCCCTACACAGGACAAGAAGCTCCCACTGACTCCTGCTGCAGGAACCTGGCTGTGGACGGCAGCACAGGGCTCTCTGCAGAATCTCAGAATCACCTGTCGTCTGCCCACATACTCTTTAGATAAGTGCTAGAAGACAGCCTACTGTGCAGGGCACACCTGATGGCTGGGATGAGGGTGCCAGTTCCCTCCTGCCATGAGACCTAAGGGGAAAGACACCCAACAGGCAAGCGGACAGTACACAGCAAACACAGGGACTAGGGGCAGCCTGTGGAGACAGAAGAGTGATGGGGAGAGAGTGTGCAGGGGAAGGAGGCCAGTGAGGGTGCTCCAAGGACTGGGATCTGAGCAGGAGGTAGGGTGAGAACCGAGGACACGTGGGAGGCACGTTCCCATCAGTCCCAAGGACACGTGGGGGGCACATTCCTGTCAGAGACATGAGGACAGGTGGGGGGCACAATCCCATCAAGAGTCCTAAGGACATGTGGTGGGGGCATGTTCCCATCAGTCCTGAGAACACGTGGGGAGCATGTTCCTTTTTAAAGAAGCAACAGGCACCTTCCCTGAGACAGGAAGAGGCTTTGACTGAGAATCACAACCAAGAAGGTGGCCGTGATGCAGTGGGTGAGGCAGCACGGGGCTGAAGAGGGAC